TGCCACCATGTCGGATCCCACTTTATATTTTAAATCTTGCTGTTAAAGTTTCCTAAAACTGTATTTATGTATTCATTTCTTTGTAAGTTCACAACAAAGAGCGTAACTAAGTTTTATTTTGACTATTGTTTTTCAATTTACCTGACATTTCAGTGAAAAAGGAAAACTTACAACCTGTCCATTCAGTGGAGTGCTACATCAAAAATGATAAAATATATCGTAAAATATGGTCACAAGCTTTTCATGAAAAATAATACAAGTAATTAACAAAAACAAAAAAGATGTTCAACTTTAACATGGGGAACATGCGAAGTAAAACCATAAGGAAATATTACTCTGTATCCAGTAAAAGGTATAAATTTTTAAAAAGACATGAGATCAAGCATTGGTGAGAATATGAGGCAACTGAAATTCCCATACATAATTTAGAAAACTACATAAATTAGATAAACCTTTTCCCCTCATCAAATGAAAAGAAAAAAATTTAACCGTAAGGTGGAGTTTTAGATTGCATGCAGGTAGGAAGAATGGAACTGGAGCACAAATGTCAATAGCAGCTCTGTAAAGAAGCTGAACCAGATACTTCTGACTTCTGGGGGCACCACAGACAGGGACAAAGTAGTCCCAGATGGCTAAAATCGCTGGCCATATAGCAGAAGTAGATGCAAATACCTTGGAAGGAAAGTATCTTCTCTTCAGATTATTAGCATTTCCATGTATTAAGATAGACCAGGGGCTGGGGGTTTAGCTCAGCGGCATAAGCACCTGCCTTGAAAGCAGGCAGTTGTGAGTTCGATCCCCAGTACCAATAAAAAGGAAAAAGACAAAAAAAAAAAAAAAATGGGAGCTGGGGATTTAGCTTAGTGGCATAAGCGCCTACCTTGCAAGCAGGCAGTCGTGAGTTCGATCCCCCATACCGATAAAAACGAAAAAGACAAAAAAAAAAAAAAAAAAAAAAGATAGACCAAGGAAATACGAATTAAAAATATAAGATCATCAAGTATATAAGGAAGCAAATGTGAAAAGAAATAACAATATACAGTCATTTACATATAAGAATTGTCAGGGAGCACAAAGTACACAATAACTCCCTAAGAAATCTTTAAAGAAACGGCATAAACCACGAAAATGAGCATGTAATAAGGGATGACCAGGAATAACCATAAAGATAATAAAAAAGTGAAATGTCCAAAATAAAAGCAAATTTGCAGAACTACAAACAACAACAATAATAAAACAAACCATCATGTAGGGCTTGAATAGGTAAAATGCAATGAAGAGTCTGGAATATATAGCTGAAGAAATTATTCAAAATGCAGTAAGAAAATGAAAAACTGAAATAAGGTAAGAGATACAGAAAACAGAAGAAAGAGCAGAAATGTATTCTGACTCTTTGAAGATGATGATAGAAATGAGAAAAACAGCTGAAGAGAGTGATAGTGAATTTGTAGACATTATATAAGCACACGCCTCTGCTTCCTGCATTCTGGTAGGCTGAAGGAGGACTGTAAGTTCAAGCCCAGCCTGAAGAACATAATGACAGTGCGAACCCGTTCCTCTAAAAATTAATATTAAAAGTACTTGGGGGGGAGGGTGTAGCTCAGTGCAAAAGTGCTGGGTCTAATCCTCATTAAGGAAGAAGGAGTCATCTATGAAATAAAAGCAATGATGAAAACAACTAAAATAGAAACCCAGTAAGATTCATAATAAAGAGCATACAAAAAGTTGGAGTAATTTGTTCAAACAACTCCAAACACATCAATAATTACAATGAAAGTAAATGAACTAAACTTGCCAATTAAAGGCTATACTGCTATATTAAAATATCAAAATCCAGTTATGTAAAGTTTATAGCAGATACATTAAAATGCAAAGACAGAGAAAATCTGAAATGAATTGGAAGGAGAGAAAATGTATGTAAGACAGATACCAACAGAAAGAAAACTGTGAGTGCCATCTTAATTCTTGACAAAATAGATTTTAAGACAAAAAGCACTACTGGTGACAAGAGGGGCAAATACTTAATGATAAAAACTGAATTCATCAGATGGTACATAAGCAATTAAGTTTTCTAATTAGCCCCAAACTACAAAAAGAAAAAAAAAAATCATAGGTATCAGGACAAAATGGACAAATCCAGAACTATAGGTATTTCATGTTCTTTGCTATAAAAAGTCTTAAATAAAAAAGAATAAATATACCCAAAAAGATGACATTTGTATTAGTTTGTGGAATGAAGGGTGATTTTTCCTGTTTTCTAAATTTCCTTTGGTTGTTATGATACTACTTTAATAATTAATGCACTTCTTCCAGAAATGAAGTACAGAGGTAAAGTTTGGATAATTGAGGGTTTCAGTGGCTTTAGTTAATTACAGTTTTATAACTGGGTAATTATAGTCTATGGCTTTAGCTTCTATTCCGATATTTATCAAATTGAGTATGTTTTAACTAGCATAACTTCTTATTGGAGTTTTGCTAAAATGTCAAATGATTTATTTATGGGATTAAACAGTCCAGACACTATCCGATTTACATATTAAAGACTGGTTTATTTGTTTGTTTTGTTCAGTAGAAGGAAATAATTTGGGGGAAATTCTACTCCAAATTTAAACATTTTGATTGTAAATAGCTAGATCACTCTGAATTTTTGTAGCAACAAAAGACCTACAATTTTTCTAGACTTCTGCCCAGATAGTACTGAACAGAGATCTGCTACTCTGGGAAAAAAAAAAAAAATCAAGTAAAGAAAGATACAAGTGGATAATCTTGTTTTATACGGATATTCCCTTTGGATTTCAGTTAACCTATTGCCATTTCTAAAACTCAATAGTCTACCTCTATTTATACTTTTTGAAGCATGTATGATATATAATAATTATACAAATAGGAACAGATCATTGTATATAAATGGAAAATAAAGCAGCATTCTAGAAAGCTGGGTCTATTGAAAGGCACAGGATGATTATCATAGTACTGAAAAGAGTATATGGATTCTTTGAGTATATAATGTAAAACGCTAAACTGTTTTTTAAGTCTAAACTATTTTTTAAGATATTTAAAATTTACTATATGTAATTCCAGGAAAATAATACCATGTTGAAAAGTAAAACTAACGTGCACTGTTATAGTTTAGAAAAAAATGAGAAAATTCTAAATTTTTATGTTTTTAGTCAATAGACATTTTATAATCTCTTGAGATTTGAATTTCCAACATATTGCTTGTCTAATCCTTTCACTGTGTAAAGCCAACCAAAGAGCATGAATGGAATGCATTTCAAATTCTGTGCTGTGAAAATGATAATAAAATACAGAAACAAATAATAACTTCAGGTTACATTAATGCATAAAACCTAATTTCTATACACAGTTATTAACACTTTTTTTATTGACCTTTTTTTTTTTTTTTTTTTTTTTTTGTGGTGCTGGAGATTGAATCTAGGGCCTTTGCACTGAACTATCTCCCTAGTCCTTTTTTATTTATTTTGAAACTGGATCTTGCTAAACTACCTATGCAGGGCTCAAGATGATTCTCCTGCTTCAGCCTCGCAGAGTGCCTAGTGCCACTATTTCTATCATGTTTCATTTACTGTTTCAGACTATTGGACTGTAACACACATAAACAAAGAGCACAAACTATGAATATAAGCTTAACGAAGTCTCACGAAGTGAATATATCCATCCATGTTTTATCACCACAACGTAACCATCAACTTTTAAGGTGGTAACAGTTAAGAAATAAGCATTAAAACGGTCAACCACCACCACAGAAAGGCAACTGCCAAACACGAATAGGTGTAACTAAATCAAGCAGGAAACACCACAGAGCATAAGAACAGTCTCATCTGATGAGCGACTACACCTGTAACCTCTCCTACATGTGCTCCATGCTGAACTTCTACATTTCAAAGAAAGCACCAGAAAAAAACCACAAAACTTCACAACGAATTAGATTGTTTACCAAAGTGGTTTCTTTTCTAGAGCTACATTCCTATCACTCTCCTACAAATCATGACCTTACACAGTAACTTTTAACTTTTTAGGGCTCAGGTGCTTTCCTGTTTTCCTCAATTGGCAGATTCCTTTGTTACCTTAAAACTTAAATCTTGGCCGTGAAGCATCTCGTAATTCCCTGTCTAGTCTAAATGCCTAGAAGTTATTAAAGACAGTAGGAAGCTGAGGCATAGGGAATCCAGTCACTTGGTAAATACAAGCCTTTCCTACATAAGGGTCCTGAATTATTTTTAGCCTTAGAGACCAGAAATGTCCTTATGTTGGCTCAGTGAATCCTTTCCTACGTTTGCATTCTTTGGATTTCAGCGATGTCTTGCTTGGATCCAGTGGTAACTTCTTCGGTTTACCAACAGTTTGCACAGGTCTCTACTAGTTTTACTCGGAAATTATGAGCAATTTAGCCACACACGGGCTCGTAACGTTCAGGAGACTCTTCGGCAGAGCAATCCACGAAACGAGAGGACTCGTATACAAACGAGGCAACAATGAAGGATCTGCAAAGCTCAGCAACGTTCCTGAGTGACGCCGATGTCAGCCCTGATTTCAGGGGCGCGCCAGCGGGCTAAGCGCTAAGGCCGAGGGGCAAAAGGAATCCAGGGGACCGGGATATCACAGAGGACGCCTCAGATGAGCCTAGGCGACCCCGCCATCAGCAGCTCCCACCACAAAGAGTCCGCGCTCTGCATCCCGTCACCAGGGCAACGCTGCAACCCGACACCGAGGCTCAAGATTTCGCATTCACGGCCACGGTACTGAAGAAGAGCGCATCCCCGAGGCGTCTCTGCCTGCTGCTGCTGACTCTGGAGCACCCAGCGTGGTGCCGGAGACGCCCTCACCCCCAGCCCGCGTCCCAGCTCCGCCACCGAGAGCAGCCCAGCCGCACCCGCCGGGCGACTCGCGCACGTGGCGGCCGTGATTGTCCCGGGCCGTATCCCTCCGCGCCCCCTCCTCGGGCTCCCCCGCCCTTCCCGGGACCCTCGGTGTCGGAGCGCCGCCGCGGAAGGATCGCACGCACGCTCGCGCGCACGTCCCGCCCGGCCGCGGAGAGCTGAAGGCGCCGCGGTGAGGAGTAGCTGCCCACGTCGGTGCAGCTGCTCCGCAGTCTCCAGCCGCTGGGTCGTCAGCCTCGCGGCTGCCGCCGGCCGGGCGGCTCGGCCGAGCGCGCTTCGCGGCTCGTCCCTCACCGCCGTGCCCGCGTCCTCCCTCCGCGGCTCCTCGGGGAGGGGGGCGGTCGGTGCCTGCGCAGAGCCGCCTCCTCCCCGCCCCCGCCCCGCCTCCCCCGTGCCGCCGCCGCCTGCTGCCGCCGCCGCCGCCGCCGCCGCCGCTGCGCCTGCTGCTCCTTGCCGTCCCCGCTGCAGTGCGAAGGGCTCGAAGATGGCCGGTTGGCAGAGCTACGTGGATAACCTGATGTGCGATGGCTGCTGCCAGGAGGCCGCCATTGTCGGCTACTGCGACGCCAAATACGTCTGGGCAGCCACGGCCGGGGGCGTCTTCCAGAGCATTACGGTGAGAACCGGCGGCGGCCGGAACCGGCTTCCCGCATCCGAGCCGGGCTGCTGGCTGCGGGCGCCGCAGCAGGGGCGGGCAAGGTGCCGGGCCGGCAAATGTGCTAGGAGACGGCGGGCCCCGAGGATGCAGCTGGGAGGCCGAGGCCCGCGGACGCCCCCTGCCCGGACCTGGCGGACGGGCGGGGGCGGCGGCCGGATTCTGCCTGCAAGCCGGGCCGAGTGGGGGAGGGTACACGCACCGGCGGGGGTGGCGGGGGTCGCTTTTTCACCCTGGCGTATTTCCCCAGATCCCCAGAAGCCTTGAGGTTTGCTCTGCACGTCCCGGGGTGGCGGGGGTCTGGGGCTCTGGCCCGGGCCGGCCCGGCCCGGGCCGGGGTTCCTGGCGGCGGGCTGCCCCTGGGTTGGCGGACAGCACAGGCTGTAGAGGTGGCGGCTGCCCGGCCCCCGGGATTCTCGAAGCGACTTTGCGTAGGTTTGCCGGGTGTCCAGGCCTCCGGGGCTTGCGAGAAATGTACGCCAACTACGTAGGTGGATTCGTGAATCTCGACTTCAGCTCTGGCTGTATAGGTTTTTTTTTTTTTTTTTTTTTTTTTTTTTTTTTTTTTTAAATTCTCCAAGATGGCGAACTGCCATTGATTTCTTCTATGGAGATTCATCGATACACCGTTATCCCCAGTTATGCAACATGCCTCTTAGAAAGGGGTGATTTTAGGGGGCTTTCAGTAGTCAGAAAACATAGGGGATGAGGGACACTTCTCCAAGTCTTTCCCTCTTTACTAATGGTAGTAAAGAAACTAATGCAGATTTATGCTTCATACTGCTTGATATTCTTGTGACTTATGGTTTTGAGTTGGTTGCCACATGTTTGGGGAATATTTGACACTGAGCTTCCAGAGCTGCTTATTGTTCTGCTTGTTTCTTCCCAAAGCTGTTTGTGAAATGTTGAAGTGTGGACTGGGAGACCATTCCTTTAATTTTTTACTCTAAAGGTTCCCTTCTCATCAAACTCCCCACATTCATGTCCTCCCATTATGGGTGCAAATTATTCTTTTACTACCTCACATAGTTTAGTATCTCTAACTGTTGAACTTAGTCTCTTGATACTTTAAGATCATCTGTACCTGCAGTGGACTACAATTCTTACGGAAAATTGACATCTGGTCATCAACTTTTTTTCTGCAGTCCTCCTGTCTTTGTGTGAGAGTTCCCGCTGTCTGGCTAGGAAGATTGCGGGAGTGTGCTTGGAAATGGCTGGGGCCTGCTATGACTCTGCAGTTCTGATGGGGGCGACGCCTTCCTTCTTATTCATGGAATGTTAGAATTCACGGTTTCTTCTTTCCGGTGCTGGTGGCTGAACCTCAGTTTCTTTCCCTGTCTCCCTCCATTTTCTCTCTCCTTTTACCGTTGCCTGCTGCAGTGCTGTAGAGAATCCGTTTTGCCTTTGCCCGGAGAGAAAACTGATTACTGAGGAGGGAGGGGAAGGGAAGTTGGAGACAAAAAGGAGTAGTGTCTAGAAAAGTAGGAGGGAAATACGAATTTGGAAAGACACTGAGGTTTAAGGAACAAAATTCATGTCATCAGGAATAGTTCTAGTTATTCCATGAAGAGAAAACAGATCTGCTAAGCACAAGGTTTATTTCAGGAGACTTTGAACCAACTTTAAGTGTTATGCAGCATGACTGACTAGCATGATAGACAAGCTGTTGGGTTTATAGCTGAATCTTTACATAAGCACCCTCAAAAGCACCACCTGACTTGATGCAGCTTATAAATAACTCTTAAGTTCGTAGCTTGTCTAGTGCCAACTACTAAGTGTTCATAGCCTTTGTGTAGACCTGTTTTATTTAGCAGTGAAAGAAAATTAGCTGATCTAAAGCATGTAAATGAGGTAGAAATAGATAATCCTTTGGAAATGAATCTTGCTTTTACCTTAGCAAAAATTGGTTGTCTTGCAGTGGTAGTAAAAACTCAGTACAGTCTTTTGTATTCTATCAAGCTCTGAAAGAATCAACTACAACTTAATGTTTCTTTCTCTCTTTTTTTCTTGGGGGGAGACAGCCAATAGAAATAGACATGATTGTAGGAAAAGACCGGGAAGGTTTCTTTACCAACGGTTTGACTCTTGGTGCAAAGAAGTGTTCAGTGATCAGAGATAGTCTATATGTCGATGGTGACTGCACAATGGACATCCGGACAAAGAGTCAAGGTGGGGAGCCAACGTACAATGTTGCTGTCGGGAGAGCTGGTAGAGGTAAGCAAGGTGTTTTTGTGATTAAAAGTTGCATGCCATATTACAGCTTAGTAATCATTTTAACATTTTGAATAGAAGTTAGTCCATCATGGCTATTAAGGTAGCTTTTTGTGAACTGCCCAGCACTGAAGGGAAGCACTGCTTTCAGATTTAACTACTTTACACTAGTTGCACATACAGTCCAATGCCTTTCATCTTGACTTCATTCAGACACAGAACAATATCAACTCTTCATTTTCAGCCTTAGTGAATTTAAAAGTTGTCTCAAACTGTTTGATATGTCAGATGGTAATTCTGTGGCTTATAAGATTGTTACGTTTAAATCATTTATTTTTATCCATCAGTCTTTACTTTTGGATTTTTTCCCTCTTACTTAGGTTTTTAATCAGTTCAGGGCTCATCATCATACAAGATTAAGTTGTTTCATTTTTTTCTATTGGGAATATTGCTAGGGAAGAGAGGGATAATTAGATTATGTTTTTGGAGTAAATTGTCAATTTATTAAAATATTTTCAAAGACTAAGTGTCTAATGTGTGCTTGAGAAGTAGGAAATTACATGTAGTTTACATACTTGCTCCAGAATCTATTTGCCAGCATTATGGGAATTCTTATGGCACTGAAGAAGCCTCATATTTTTAAAAGAAACTTGAAATTGAGGTTTATTATGACATCTGATTGACCTATCAATATATTTAAATACGTTAACTTGTATAAATATTTCAGAAAAAAAACAGGGCTTCTATAGCCCCATGTGGCAAACTTGGCACATCTAATTTTAAGAACAGCTCTACCATGTAAAGGTACTTGAAGCTGCAGTTTCATGTTCTGGTTTTACCAATTCTCTGTGTTTACCCTAAAGGCTGCTTTTATTCCGTGTGAGTGATGTTTGTGGACATTTGTGGGAAAATTAGATGACTTTGAAATAGTAGTCAAATCTCTAAAACCAGCTGCTCTCAGATACCTATGCTAAAAATGCATTAACATGACCGAGAAACTAGATTCAGATTTTTGTGTTGTAGAGTACTCCTGACACCTAGTGGCAGTGAACACAAAATCTGACATGCACATGCATTTGAGAGATTTTTAATTGCATCATAAAAACCACCTGATACTGGAAATAGTAAACCCGTATCAGGATTTTGGATTCAGTTGAAAACTATGATTTAAAATATTCTGAACTTGGCCTTTTCTCAAATGCTGTTCAAACTTGATTTTCATTTTGCTTTGAAAGTAACATAGTCTCATTGGTAAGACTTAGCTTATGTTTATCAAGCATGCTAAATTTGGGGAGAACTTGTAAGCAATTACCTGACTTTAAAGTATATTTTTGGGACAAACAATGCATGTATGTTACTTCAACCAAAATTTTTGCCCTAAAATTGAACATAAATTATCATTTTTTTTTCCCATAGCAAACAAAGATTGTATGGAATTTTGCTTCTGTTAATAGGGCTTCCAAAATGCAATCAGCACTTATGTGTATTGTTTTTAGTATATTACTAATTTGAAAAGTTCTACATTCTGGAGACCTAATTCAGTGCTTGACAGTTCATGGAAAACTAACTTAATGTTAACTTGTATTAATCAGGGGTCTGTCTGCTAAAACTTGTGTGACTTTCTTGATTAACACTTCTTTTGAAACACTTTTCTTCTTTCTCTTTCAGTCTTGGTCTTTGTAATGGGAAAAGAAGGGGTCCATGGAGGCGGATTGAATAAGAAGGCATACTCAATGGCAAAATACTTGAGAGACTCTGGGTTCTAGCTGCTAGGCAGACTGTTAAGTATTAGGGGAAAATTGCTCTTAAACTTTCCTAGCTGTAAGCTTAAGTCTTAATTCTGGAAACTTTATTAGCAATGCAGGGTGATGGGGTATGAACCTGTGTCTCCTTTGTATCCCTCTGTTGGTGGGGAAAGGTGTCTTTCTTTCTGCCCCCCTCCTTAAATAATTCTGTTCACTTTTGTTTTGTTTCCTTGTGTACTCCAGCATTGGTTATAGTCATGGGAAAGGAAGGTGTCCACGGAGGCACACTTAACAAGAAAGCATATGAACTCGCTTTATACCTGAGGAGGTCTGATGTGTAAGCAGCCTCTCCCCATCTTCCTAGCAACTGTCTTCACCACCATCCTAATTATGGTCACAGTGCTACCAGACTATAGATGGTAGCTAGTTTTCTTTACCTATTTTCTAATGTCACCATTCCTGTTTGCCCAATGGATCATTTTTATGTTAACCATTGTATGTAACCAACCTTTATCTGGCAACATAATTGCAGCACAATAATGATTTGCATGATACCTTGAAATTGGGGGGAGGGGGCATGCCAAGTTGGGCATCACTTTGTCTTAGCAATTAATGGGATATTGATTACTAAATAAGTTAATATTAAGCAAGGTGCCGGTTGTACAATCTCTAATTTGATCAATGTCTTTTCAGCACTTTGAGCATTTACTTGGCTCATTTAGTCTTCCTTTTGTAGCGCATGGTTGGGAGGAAAAAGTGCATGTATCTTCACTCTTTTCTCAACACTTTCTTTGCACATACGGTATTTGGTTTGCTTCTATCCTTTTTTCTTTTTAATGCAGTGCCTGGTTTATTTAACCAATTAATACCCCCTTTGTTGATGAACTATTGAGAGCTGCATAGTTTGCTTTTAGTATTGTGGTTGCACTTAACATTTTTTCATAGTGTCTGTGGGACATAATGAAAAGTGCATCTGCAAAACAAGAGCAAAAGGCACTTCCTCCCATGATCTTATAGTAATGATACTGATTGAATCCCCAGGGACATTCCATCATTGCAATAGCTCAGATTTTTGTTCCTTTTTCTTTGCATACCAGTTCTATTCTTTAGTAAAGTTATAAAGGCTGCCATTATGGACATTAGGTATCCCAACATAACCATCTGGAGTGTGTCCAGTTTGTTCTTCATAGGACCAATTTTTATTTGCAGCTTGAGTTTTTATATGAAGTTGCATTATTGTGGACTTGGCTGTCTTGTGATGAGTTTTTTCATATGTATTCTGTGCCATACTATTGTTAAAATGAACTGTTGCTATTGTGAGATGGATTTTAACTGACCTATTAAGGGTTTCTTTTGAATGGCACTACTTTAGGGACACTGTAGTATTTGCTTCTATTGTTTGGGCCTTGTGGATAATGTACAGATTTAAACAAATCTTGTTGCTGATTTGTCCATTTCTTTCCCTGCACTTTGTTACATCTGGGATACAGTCTAACTCATCTGATTTAATATGCATTTAAAAAAATGCCATAACTATTAAACACCTTGTTTACAGACAGATGAAATAAATTTATTCCAACCAAATACTCTAGACTCCTGTTTTTTATATAAATTGTCGGCTTACTGTTAAGTTGATTTTAGTGGGGTATAAAGAATAGGCCAAAGTCTGCTGTAGGCATATTAGTACATAGGAATTGTTTAATAGGCTTTAAGCTACCAAAAATAGCATTTAGGTATTTCAGGTTTATGTGAAGAAAACTACTTCACTGCTAGAAAATATTTTCTGCTCTTGGTCTTTACATGTGAAATCTTGAAATGTAGTCAGCAAGAGGCCCTAATACCAAGATGGGTTTCTGTACTGTTGTGGATTCTTCAGTGTTTAACTGTCATATGACTTTAGATTTGGAGTCTGTTGGCACGCTGAGGTCAGCCTGCTGGGATTCACTCACCCACATTAAGAGCAGGAGACTGCTCAGGTAGCACTGAAGAGAACTGGTTCTGGCTTTTGAAGTAACATGTTAATCATGCTTACACAGTTTAATTCTAGTATTCATAAATTCCTTAGTAGAGTATTAAAAGTTTACTAAATGTACATATGTAAGTTTAGGGCTATGTAGGCAAATCATTAGTATCATGAACTTTCAAGAAGAAACTTAAAAGTGGTTGCAATATAAATTCTGAACTTGAGTTCCTAAGAGATGGAAGCCCAGGAAATCCTGTTCTAGAAACAATCACCAAGTCATTCTGGTTCATACCAAGTGATCTGCACACTAGCCTTGAGAAAGATTGGATTAGGGAACAGAAATTACTTTTTAAAAAAAAACACTGGACATAAAAGTTGTTTTCTTTGAAATAGTCAGATGTCCTATTTAATTGTACAAATAGGATATTAAATTACTAAGATCTGTGATATAAGGCTACTTGATTTGAACATTCTAGAAACTGAAAGACTAGAAAACTGGTATCAGCTTTTTGTCCTGTTAAAAGGTTTTGTGTTAAGGACAAAAGGTTGGGCAAATAAAAATTTACTGATTAGTTGTTATGATTTGCAGTTTTGCAGTGATACATTCATGTAACGAACTATTTAGATGGTAATTAAGAAATGACCCAAATGGGGAACATTTAAACAGGTGAACCTTTTGCTAAGAAGGATATATGTTGAGAGTTGGGTAGAGGAGAAGATTGTAGAGGGTTACTTATCACCAAAATAATGAACAGTCAAAGTAATCATTGAGATGTTCTGCCATACAGTTTAATAGAAAAATACAGAAATATATAGATGTGTATTTTGTTTTTTAAGGATATGGAGTTAGGCAAACAATCTAGGATTTCCCACTGTACAGCATTATTTAAATAATTTTGGGAAACTGCAGGCTTAATTTTAAGGGAAGTGAGCTGAATAATTTGTCTATAGATAGCCCCTGAAGAGTGTCACAAAATACTCATCAGTGAGTGTTAGATGCAGACAGTGTAAAGGCAGTGTTGGACGCAACATCTCTGGGCTGTTTCCAGGTGCCTATATTTTGGTTTCCAGTGTTACTTAATCAGAAAAGTTTTAGAAGTTTCAAATACTAGGTCTTAATTTTACTGTCCTTTCCAAAAAGCTTACCTATACAGTGAAGTTACAGATTTTGCATATTAAGAACAAGTAATAATCCTAGTGCAGTTAAAAGAGTGCAGTTAAAAGACACTTCAAAACTTTACAAATCAAAATAATTTCATTAAATGAACCAGGTCGTGAACCTGGAATGTGGATTAAGGATTAAAGGAATATGTTTACTATTTGGCTACATACAGTGACTTTTAACTTTTCCTCTTTTAAAAAATTACTTTTAAAACCTAGTATATATTTATCCCCCAGGTACTGAACTCAGTGCTTTGTCTTTATATCCTTCCTGAGGTTAAATTAAATTATGCAGGTGATCAAAAGTATAAACAGGTTAAACTCACATACAGATACGTGACATTCCAACTTCTGTTCAATAATAATTAATGTTCTTTTTCTAACATGTTTTATCTTAAAAAGGGCAGAGGGCAATCAGGAATGTCATGCTGAATTCAGCTTTTTATTTTCTAAACTGGAAATACTTTTTTCCAGGCTATAAAAGCTTTTGAAAAGAAAATTCAGAGAGTGCAAGTTCCTCTTTAAACATATCTTTTAAAAACTACATTAATTTTTTTATTACTACATTTTTATGGTATGTAATATTCAGCTTATGTAGGAGTAGGCACATGTACTTAATTTTTTTTAAAAGGGTTGATATACCAGGTATACTTACTGTTCTGATTTTATTCACAATTTTCTATGTCAGCATATATTTATTGTAAAGATGTACAACGGGGACCATAACACATACTGTTTATTTTTGTAGTGATTTTGGCTATAATCTTGTCTTTGATTTTTGTAGCTTTTTTCCAGGTTTAGATAATCTAAATCTTTTCAGTACTTTGTATAACATTCTGAGGTGGTGTGTGTGTATCTTACCTCAATCATTATACCTTTAAAACAGTCATAGAAAGCACAGAAAGTCAAAGACATAGAAAGAAAGTAACAGTACAGTAGAACATTACTAGTTTTTAAAGTGGAAAAGTTTTATTAACATTCAAACTCCCTTCATATAAGGCCATATAAAAATTCTTAGCAGTTTGATTATACATTTCTGTAATTTCTACATAGTTACAATGGTGTATAATATAATTTACCTTTTCATAATACATCATTTTAGTACATTAGTTCTGTTAAACATAAGCATTTAGTTTCAAATCTAATACTTCAACGTTTTTCTCTGTACACTGGTTAGCAGGGCTTATTAGCATAAGATGCTCTTTATAGAGGTATATGATCTGAGTATTAACAGTTGCTGAAGTTTGGTATTTTTATGCAGCATTTTGTTTTTGCTTTGATTCCAACATACAACCCTGAAGGATATGGAAATCTCGTAAGTCCAAAGACATTACCTGTTGAACCATAATCACACATAACACTGTAGTATTAAAATCCTTCTGAAATCTGCATTAATTACAGGCCGTTTATATCAGGATAAGACTGTTTGTGAATAGAAATGAAAAAACTAGCTTTGAGTTTTCTGTGTGGTGCTGATCGGAGGAGAGAAATGATAAAATACCTTGTTGCTTCTCTAATGAAGGCAACATACTCCAACTCATTAAGTGACTTTAGCGAGGTGTGAGCATTGGCTTTACCGTTTGCTAGATGGCCATGGCACTGATTTCATGTGTGAAACAGGACATTTTCATCCTGTGATCTTAAGTCTTAATTACAAGCTATACTGAGATTTAAAAAAAATGTTTTGGCTATGTTTCATCTTGATGCCTGAGTTAAAGCACCAGTCTGTTATTAGTAAAATGAAATAAAGTTCTGTGGCTTAGTATCAGATAAGAGCCTGTTCTGGTAATCTGATTAATCTAGAACACTAAAAAATAAGTTATTTCTACAGAAATCTCTAAAAGGAGCAAAAAAATCAAAGAAATGTTTTAAGGGGAAATAAACCCATCAACTTCCAAAAATCACACAGTATTTGCTATGTTGCAGTCCCGCTCACCATTAGGCTGCAGCTGGACCACAACACTGTGTTCATTCACTTCATTTTCTGCCTCACTGCTGTCAGTATCTTCATTGTCATCATCCTCGAAATCTGAAGATTCTGTCATGTTCTGATGCGAGTGGGACTCTGACAAAGCCCCAAATGACTGGGTACTAACAGACGCCAACGGTCTAAGCAGAGGGGTGTGTTCTGACACTTCATTTTCTTCTTGACTACTGTCTGTGTCAGAGTCAGTATCACCTTGAGAAGGCACAACTTTCTGCTTGCAGACCGGACAGGTTTTCTTGGTTTTGGTTAGCCAGGGGTCTACACACTTGCAGTGATAAGCTGTTGAAGCAAAGTATACATCTCCAGTTAGCAAACAGTTGACAACATTTAATCTACGTTTAGTCTGTGATATGTATACATCATATAGAGACGAGAAGTTTTTCTACTTTTATAAGTACAACTCTGCCTTTTAACCAGACTAGTATACAGCCTAACTTATGTTTGTGCTAATGACTGTTTTCTTTCTTCCCATGTAATACTGAACCTAAATAAATAAAAATTACTATATTTGTAAATTCAAAACAGTATGTAATTACTCGTACCATGAGAACAGGGAAGGATTCTGAGTTTGTCTCCATCTTCATATTCATCCAAACAAATGGCACATACATCATACTCATCTCCTATAACAGAAGCATAAATAAAATCTGTAGAAAAGGTTTTCAACTTTTCAGGTGTTTTAAGTTTGTATTTCCTCAGTTATTCATTTGTTCTGTGGTACTTGGCAAGTTACTATTCCTTTGTTACCCAGTCTTCTTCTGTATACTACCTAGGCTGTTAGGTAGTCTTAATTGCCATTTTAATTGTTTCATTGTTGAATTTATCACCTTTATAATCATAGTCTTATTAATTCATAGTTCTTTTGGAGTTTATAAGTTTTTAAAGGACATGACCGTTTTAAATATAGTCCTTTCAGTTAATAGAGGCTTCAATACTTTGGTGACGGTGACTGTTTTCAGTGAAGTCTTTTTCCATTACATCAATGTTAGGTAAAAACTTTCAAAAATCTCAAGGAACAAAAGTCAGTTAAATTGATTGTTAAACCAGAGGGGAACAACCTTGGCACATGTCTGAAAGCCATTGTCTGGATGAACATGACACATAAAATGGGAATGATAGTTCTTTTGATATAATCCTATTAGTGATTTCTGGTCCTTTTAAAACATTCAAAAAAGAGTTCTAAATAGAAAACTTCAATAAAAATTATTCTCATTCAGCATTTTGGATTGAATAGTGTCACCTGTCAAATCCATGCAATAACAAAATACACATACGTATGTTAGGATTGTTTTTGGGATTTGGTAACACTGATGACTACAATATTAAGACTTCTATCATGATCTATAATTGTGTAGGTGATTAATTTGAGGCTTTGTGGATAGACAGTTCTCATATGCAATTAAATATGACTGGTATTCTTATAAATTGAACTTTCAGTTTCATCACCTTGTAAAAATGTCTTACTAAAAACAGGGTTAATGGTTAATAGGGGTAAGGGAGATTAGCCTGGATTATAGATATGGGCCCAACTGTGATCACAGGGTCCTTAAAAGTGGAAGTCTGAGTTCACTATTAGAGGTGATTAGACGAATGGTCAGGGAAATGCAGAGGTATGGTTTCAGAAGGAAGTCACAAGCCAAGAAATACAGGTGGCTGTAAAAGCTGGGAAAGGCAAGGAGATGGATTCTTCCTGAGACTCTAGAAAGTACACAGCCCTGCCAACACTTTGAATTTAGCCTCCAGAGATGTGTCAGATGTCTAACTTGTGCACAGACAATAAATTTGTTCTTATAGCACTGAATTTTTGATAATTTGTTAATACAGAAAATAGGAAACTATAATATTTGCCTGGCTTATCTTTAAATGTGTGGAATTAAGGCTTCAGAGTCACAGGAGTTTCTTTTCAATCTTTTGAATTGTTCCAAGTAATAGGTTTACACTGATCTTTCATATTTCTTGCCACAGGATTTACTTTGAGGAAGTCCAGTCAAAGTTCAAAGATACAGTATGTGATCATGGCCTAGACCAGAGCCCAGTGCTCTGTAGAAAATTAGCTCCCATGGCCCTGGGCTAGTGATGAAATGGTAAAGCACATGTTAGAATGCTTGGGGTTCTCTGGTACAATCAGTATGGAGATTCCACAAAAAACAACAACAAAAAAATCCATTTGACTCAGATTTCCCCTTCAAGGTACAGTATCTTTCCAAAGTCGTCATATCACAGTAATAATGCATGCATAACCATGTTTATCACAGCACAGTTCAATAATAGCTAAATCTTGGAAACAGCCTATGTATCAATGGATAAATAGATAAACAAAATATGGTATTTATTCACCATGGAGTACTAATGTGCCATAAAGAAGGATAAATCTTAGTACAATGGACATTTGACTTAGAATTCAATTTGTTTTGCAGGGCTATTGTACCTAAGTTGTCACCTGAAGGTTCAGGTTCCTCTACACTGCCTGAAAACAGGCAGGTCAGTGTCCTTATAGGAGCACTAGCCTAGGACTTTTCAACCCATATAGGAAAGGATGTTGTAATTTTCCTTCCAAACTCTTAAAAGGGTTAAATCTGTATCTGAGACAATCTGGAAGCACAAGCTGCTACCATCTGACTTGTAACTCAAGACTTTGGTTGTAAGTCAAAACAAATTCTAGTCATAACCCAAACATCCACTGTAATGGGTGCACCTTGAGACCATGATGTTACGTAAATCAAATGAAAGCTTAACTATCCCATGGCTTTTCTTCTACGTGAAATCCAATGTGTAAATAAAATGTGAAATAAAGGTAGAAAAAAGCAAAAAAAGTTATTATAATCCACCATGGCCACTGTATCTAAAAGTATACCTTGCTTTACTATACTTGCCTTATATGTTTCATGTTTGGGGGGGCAGTTAGTCTAGCTGTTAATTTGTGTTTATGATAATTACCTTGAGAATTTACAGAATAAATGAATCTGATGCTGGCAAAATTTTTTTCTGTAAGGAGAGGGTTAGAGGGGAAGGGGGAAAAGTTGAATGTGTTATGTACATGTACTGATTTCCCACAATGTAATCGTACACTGTATAAACATGTACTAATAAAAATTAAAAAATAAAATACTCGATAAAAAAAATGCTTGAGGTTCACATCTTATTCCTTTAGTTACCTATGTAACCTGTAAAATACTTTCATGTATTTTAATTAAATATTCAGCAGGCCTTGAACTGAATAGAAAAGGGTTTTTTCTTTCGGTTTATTTTTTCAAGCTAGGCTGACTCCATTAGAAACACTAAAGCTAACTGTTCCCCAATACTTCATTTCCAGTGAAAATAGGATTAAGTTAGGAAGGAGTGAGGAAAATTAGAAGGCTAGACAAACAACTCAGTGAAAAATAAGAACAATGGCAAACTTCACTGTTTTTTCTTTTTTGTTTTGATTTTTTGAGACAGGCTCCCAGTATGTAGCCCGGGCTGGCCTTGAACTCATAGCAATCCTTTTGTCTCAGCCTCCCAATTGCTGGAATTACAGCCATGCACCACCATACCCAGTAGCAAAACCATTTTTGTCCCTCTTTTAAGTATCTGAAACTAAAAATGGCTGTGGTCTAGTATCAAATGAGTATTGAATAGATAAATTTAACTTAAAGTTTAAAGCACTTATGTATTTTCATTTATAACCTTAGCAGGTTTCTGAAATTAATTTCCTACTTATCCCGGTAATATAAAGGGCTCTAACTAGTTCATAGTGACAGTTTTGTTGCTAATAGCACTGTGCTAAAAAGTTGTTGCTTAGTGTAAGACTGATTGTCAATAAACAGAAACGATTTTGGCACCCAAGGACAGTTGGTGATATCTGGAGACAGTTTTGGTTTTCACAGCGGGGACATTGTGTTGCTGGCATGTAGTAGACCAGGGATGGTGCTGATGACACAAGCATCCCCGCCCCCCCAAAAGAAACTATCCCATCTAAATGTCAGTGGCACCAAGCTGAGAAACCCTCATAGAAACCCCTCCTGGCTAGCCGAACTTTGGCAATTCACTAGCGGATGCAATGTTTAGAAGTTGAGGGAGGCGGGAGATTCCTATCTTCTGCGTGAAGCAATGTGGAAATATTTTTTGGAATATACTGGCATTGTTACTAAAATAATGGTTGCCTGCAGATACTGTTAAAGTTTCATAGATCTGAAAATGTTATAATTACAACATGAAACTGGACAGAACTTTGAATTTCCCCTCTAAACTTGTTTCTCCCACTTTCCACCCCATACATTTCAAGCCTTAAAACCTGGCTTATCAGCTATGGCAAAGGCAGAGGCCCATCGTAACAGGAGTCACACAAAGATCTAAGCAGCCACTACAGAGGCAGGCATGAAGTATCAAACCTAGGCTTATTTCTGATGTCACTTTAGCATCTATGTTTAGTCTTTCAGCTAGTCTTGTGGACATTTATGTGCAAAATATTATCCTGAATCTGTCTCCTCAGTTACTTTGGTTCATATTTGGATTATCCCAAGGGCCTTGTCTCTAGTTTTCCTTCTGTTCCTGCCCCACATTTTTCTCATGTAGCCAGAGCGATCTTTTAAAACTGTGCTCCACAACATGTCATTCCCACTTTAATGACTCCACATATCACTAAGAATAAAATCTGAGTTTATTATGGCCTTTTTGTAGCTGTCTATGATGTAAACCTCCTCTCTCACCTCATTCCATACCAGTCTACTTTTTGCCCATCATTTAGCGAATATGAAAGTAATTTACGTGAAGACTGGCCAAGCTGTAATTAGAACGTTTGAACACAAAATTAGATACAGAAAAAGGAACCATCATTTCTAAAGATGATTCAAAAAGAGAGGTAGTCTGAAATGTCATAGTGCAGACAAAACTGATGCAGAATTATTCAATTTTATAACAATCTAGCCCAAGCATTAAGTCAACTAAGAATAGATTTCTTCAAAGTAAAAGACAAAACTACATACAGATTTCATAAGGAACATATGCCTAGAGATGATATATTACTAGATTTAATAAGCTTGCCACTTAATCAGTGGGACAAAGAATAGTACTTTCAAACAAAAGTAAATGAATATTTCCACCCATACCAATTCCCAAGAACTCTGAATAAAAGGCAACAGGATAAACTATTTTTTAAGTCAAATGCTTGAGAATTCTTATTTCAAACTGGACAAAGAAAGTTTAAAGGTTGGATGAAAAGCAGTTAAGTGTAGCCACAAAAAAGTATTAACAATTACCTAAAGACAAAAATTAAGTATTCCGTTTTTATATAACCTACTATAAAATGCTACATTGCTTGTTGTAAAGTAAAAATCTTTATCCTGTATGTGTTATTTTATAAAACCCCAATAATTAAGCTACAAAGGAAAAGTGCCTGGTAACTTAAATTATCAGATATGCAATTATTTTTTTATCATTTATATTTCAGGGGTCCAACTGCTTTACATACTGATGGGGTGAGAGAGATTGCTCCCAGAAAGAGTGCCTTAATAGAGTGGGCTCTTAACTGTAAATATAAGGATTTCCATCTGTTAGGAAACTATGATAACCAGTCCTTATGGCTAGATTTGGAGAAATACATTAATAGAATGAAGCAGAAAAACTCAGGAAATTATAGTTTCAA